TATATTTGACGTAATTAACAGAAAGTTATTGCCAAAGAATTTCATTATGTCAACCAAATATTTGGTTGTCTATATAACAACCGAATTCTATGACTGAACCGACAAACAATTTTGTCGATTGAACCAAATTGTTCTCTGCGTTATGGACTCAAGACTGCCATGAAATTCGTCCATGGCGCGTCGCTTGGGAATAATGTTTCGCTTTATTATTAATGACGCCCAGGTAGCGGCACATTACGTTACTCTAATCGAAGTTTCCGTTTTTCAGGCTCCACGTGGCCTTTTCCTTGGCTCGCCGGACTCTGATAGGATTTCCGGAGCACTCCTCTTCGCGATCTACGCACCGATCGGATTCGACTCCACAGCTACTCTCGGAGGCCGGGAAATGCATTTCCCGAGAGACCGTCCGTAAGAGAGGAAACCGGTGGAAACGTTAATAAGGCCCACCCTGTGGGACCTGACGACCGGAAATCGGGTGGGACTCCTCTTGTCGTAAACTCGATTACACCTCGTCAGCGTTATCAGGCTTTATAATGTACGAGGTATCAATTTAAGGTGATGCAAAAAGAAGCATCCGAGGAGTCTCGTTTAAAAAACATGTATCCGAATCGAGTGCACCGTATCGTTTGAAATTTTACTTCGTACATTTGGAAGCTCTAAGAAAGATCCTGGTACAAATGAAATTTATTTTTTTTATCTGTTTTTTAAACAATATTTTAATTACACCTCGTCAGCGTTGTCAGGCTTTATAATGTACGGGGGATCAATTTAAGGTGATGGGGAAAAAAGCATCCGAGGAGTCTCGTTTAAAAAACATGAATTCGAATCGAGTGTACCGAATCGTTTGAAATTTTACTTCGTACATTTGGAAGCTCTAAGGAAGATCCTGGTACCCATGAAATTTAATTTTTTTTATCTGTTTCTTAAACAATATTTTAATTATCTATAAAAGTGAAAAGTTCGTGCGTGCTAGGATCTTCCTTAGGACTCCATGTTCACGTAGCAAAATTTCAAACGATTTGGTACACCAAGTTTGGAGGAAAGTTTCAGGTGCTATTTTCATATTACTTTAAGATGATATGAAAGGCGCTGAGTAATTTAATCGAAATCGATGAATTAAAATTCATCTACACCCTTTTTGGTGGGAATGTCATTTTGAATACTCGAGTGGGAAAATAAGCTGTCGCGTCCCGTTACCGACATTTATATTTATGTTGAAGTCTTTTACAGTCTACGTGGATAATTATATGAATTGATGCGTTCCATGTGTCATTTCGGTAATGTAATGATGAAGAGATCAATGGAAAACTGTCGAAATCCCGAGATTTCATTATTCCAACGACTGTTTAGGACCATCTGTGACGTCTAGCTGCAACTAAATTTTTACTCTAAAAACACGTGTTAACCCCGGGACAAGCCAGCATTCTCTAGCAATCGTCGGTGAAAGTATTTTCCATATTTTCCCATCTGACTCCGTAATATTTCGTTTCTACGGTATTCTAAATTGTTCAAGCTAAGTCTTGAAACACTTTAATTTCGATTCTAAGCCTCCAAGGAGTGTAAAACATCGAAAACGTGCCCAGACCCTGACAGTTAGTCCACGATAAATAAATAAATTTTGTACGAAAAATGAAATTTCATGAGTTTCAGGACCTACTTTAGAACCTTCATATTCACGTGGTAAAATTTGAAACGAATCGGTACACTCAATTTGAATACTTTCCCCAACGATTTGATTTCTCAGATATATAGGCTGACTCTTTCATATCACCTAAAGATGACATGAAAGAGGTATCTCAGGAGTCTTGTTTATACAACTTTTCTCTGTATTAGATGTACCAAATCGTTTGAAATGTTATTAAATGAATATAGAGACCCTAAGGAAGGTCCAGACCACCACGAAGTTCAATTTTTTTTCTTTTCTGTGAATAATTTTGCATTTTTTATACAAAAAAAAATGAAATTTCAGATGCGTTAGGACTTTCTCTAGGGTCTTCATGTTCCCGTGGTGAAATTTCAAATGATTCGGGACACTCAGTTCGGAGAAAAGTTTCGTTAACGACTGCCTCTCAGAAGTCCCTTTCAAAACATCTTAAAATTAGGCCCCGTTCACATAGAGCGTTTTTGAACAGGAGTGCACTGGGCAGTGAGTCGATTTTTCCTCCACGTCGCGCCTCGTTGTCAAGTGGATCCGCTCTTCGTTCTTGTATAGAGGAATGAATTGCTCGCAGTGACAAGGCGAATTTGCCCTTTCTTTTATTGCCTGGCTCGTTCTAAGTGTATTGCGTTACGCAAGGACTAATATGGGGCTCCCCTTGTTGAAAGGAGAGCATTCTCGTAACGCATCGGTGTTACGCAGTCCGGCGATGGCGCAACGGAACTAAATTCCCATAGAATCTGAACGAGGTGCTGCTACTTTGAAAAGAAGAAAATTGGTCGTTCCAGGCATTCGCATTATTAGCGATAAAGAATGCCGTTTGCGAGGGAAAGCCGATGCGAATATACACGCAGGAAAAGATTTAGCTGAAACAATCAATTCTTGGCTGGTTTATCCGTAGAATGTGGTTATTACACGCACAACCTTATATTTGGTTAACGTAACGAAATTCTTTGATTAAATGTACTAAATTACTTTAATATTTGGTATGATCCAGTACATTTTATCTAATCAACCAGTAACCATAATCCATGGTTGAGCCAACAACAATTTTGTTGATTTAATCAAATCTTTTTCTATGGGTAGGGGAGAAAGTATTTACTATGTGGACACCTTTATATTGATTGTGTTTTCTGAAACGTATTCGGGTTGGTTCGATTAGTTAAGAATTTCAGTCACAAAAGTCGACGTTAATACTGTGGTACATTTTTCACACGTGGTGCACTTAATACCAAACTTTTTACCTTGGAATCTTTATTCGAGATAATGGATCGTACGTGAAGAAAAAAAATTTGATTCATTTAACAAAATCATTTGATTCATTTAACAAAATCATTTGATTCATTTAACAAAATCATTTGATTCATTTCTGAAAACGTTTTAGTTGAGTTAACCGAATTTCAGCTCACTTGGCCAAACTCGTTTGCTTCAAACAACAAAAATATTTTGGTTAAATCGTTTCGTCAATTTTAGAAAATATTTTACTGAATAAATCGAACATTTCAGTTAATTGTCCCAAATTACTTTGATACTTGGTATGATTTACGACAATATTTGATGTAATCAACCAAAAATAATGAAGCATAGAATTTAGCCATGGCAACCAAATATTCGGTTGTCCATGTAATAGCCATATTCTATGGTAAATAAAAAAAAAACGTATTGCTGCAATCAAATATTTTTCTCTATGTAAGAATTTATAGACTCTTTTCTCCATCAACTTTTAAATGGACAACTTTAGAGAAATTCTGTAAGTTTTTTTACAGTGCATTAAGATCGCTCACGAATGTTATAACTAAGTTTGGTAACGTGTATATCTCATTGTGACACCATAAAAGTAGATAAGAATCATACTTTACGAATAATATCAACGTTCACCTTAAAAAACCATAACTGTATGCGGAATAATTGAAGAAAAATGAAATTCAAAAGTAACTTTGTAGGCATTATCGCAATAATGAAACAGAGGAATTATTCAAATGGTTCCTTTACTATGCAAAAATGAAACCTTTTCAATATACTTCTTTTTACATCATTTACGAGTCCCTTTGGGTCTTTATTATGCCGTTTAAAGCGGCAGTTGTGTTCTAAAATACCTCTGCCAGTACTTTCGACACATATTTTATACCTTCACCCATACTCAAAAGCCCTCTAATGAAAACCCATTCACGCTGCGCAATGAAACTTGGAGTTCTGAACATAAAGACCTTTGCTAAATTCCATACACTTCATATCTACGGTAAGATATTAGAAATAATCATTATTTTCAACAAAGGCCGCAAAATCTCAACCACCGAAACACTATTTCTCTTTTACATTTTCACCTCCAGAATCTTAATTTTTCATGAACAAATTACACATGTTTAGGGTCATTCCGGAAGAGACGAACTACCATATGAGATGGTCCACCAACATGATTTGAATATTAAACGCTACATTACATTGCTAAGCTATCGGCAGTCATTTATCATGACAGTGGAAAAGCTCGACGAGCAGTTGTAGTAACGATTTTGAACATATTGATATTGTAACTGTAATAATTTTTTGTAACAATGTGTACTTCAATTAAACTGTACATTTGACATTTTTAGCAGAGTAATCATTATATATTTCCCAGCGATTGCTGTTATGTCTATCACAATTGTAGTAATTACAACAACTTTTTTCTCTCCGTGAAGTTTGGGCACAAGACTCTGCGCCACTAATTGTAAGCAAACGATGCGTCGGTACCAAGTGTGTCAGAATTACACCCGACAGAAAACAATCACGGCGATGTGTCAAAAACAATCGTGGCAATGTATCAAGAGTAAGGGGTATACTAGCGAACGTTATCATACACACATGTTATGTGGTAACTATTGCTTCAGTTAACTACTTTATGTTGTCACGATTGTAAATATAACAGTCGTATTGCTGTAACTGTAATAATTTTGTTGTAACAATGTGTACTTCAATCAAACTGTACATTTGACATTTTTAGCCGAGTAATCATTACTTCATAGAATCGGTGTCCACATGTTTCCCAGCGATTGCTGTTATATCTATCACAATTGTAGTAATTACAACAACTTTTTTCTCTCCGTGAAGTTTGGACGCAAGACTCTGTGCCACTAACTGTAAGCAAACGATGCGTCGGTACCAAGAGACTCATCATCGGAATCACCACCCAACAGAAAACAATCACGGCCTCCACCGAGGTTGTCCCAACACCGCTGCACTTGTTGGGTTAGTCAATTTCTTTACAAGGTATATGCAGATGTATGCAGATATCCATGTGGCGAGGAAAGCGTATCAGCCTCGAGAGACCGCTCTTGGCCGAGCAGTTTCGGCCTTGTCTACTTACACGCCCTGCTGCGGAGGTCCCAGATCTTGAGTGTACGATCGTGGCTGCCAGTGACTACCTTTGACGGCTCGCCAAGAAACTTCGCCGCCATAACTTTGCCGCAATGGCCCGTGAGAGTGTGCTGCAACAGAATAAGGTTCGGGCTTCCTGTACATCCGCTGGCGAATCGGGGGAGGTGGTGGACGCGCCGCGTCCGAGCCGAGTGCCCGGAAAGTCGGGAAATTAACTCGTTTTCGGTAGGAAATTCGCGAAGGTCCGGCGAATGAGCCGTAAATCTATACAGGGTGTCCCAGATCACGTACAAGAACGCAAATGTATTTTTCTCCGTGTACGCGGGTACTTCTCCCTTTCCAATTTTGTGTGCCTAAGTAACACCGAAATATGTCAATATAGTCCCCATAGAACATATTCTATTTTCTTATACCTTCTAATGCATTGTTACCCTATTATACACGTTAATGCATCGTTTGCGATAATCGGAACTGATGGTTGAGTGGCGTTGCCCTTCCCGGAAAGGGTTAGACTTATGCGACGTTTTCGGCTGAGGTCACTTTTTGTCGTCTTTGGCGTTGACCTATAAAAGCGACGATACATACACGTAGAGGCGATACGTGTCTAAATTATTCAAAATTACCGTTCAAACATATTTTCTATCTTCCTCAATCCTTTCTGAAATTTGTTGGAAAGATAAACTGCGTCACGGGGCCACGGTGGTCATGGGTGACCACCACTTATTGTAAGAAAAATGTGCTATTGGCAAGATTGTACCGTTATTTTAATATATTTCGCAGTTCTTTGCCATTGTAACATTTTTTATAGGAAATTTGTATTGTGGCCCAGTGGTGCAAGTTCAAAAATTCGCGTGTCAGCGATAGGGTTAATGGTTACGGTAGAGGGAAGTCCCTAGCGCCGGGTAGTACCTAATACCGGACACTATCATTATCTGCGATACTCGTGATGCGACAAAACAGTGTAAAGTGCGAAAGGGGAAAAGGGACCGAATAAAATATGTGCACGTTTCGACACCCTCCGATCACGAGTAAACGTTTTATGAAAACAGCCGATCGTTCCGGTGAGGAAGATGGCGTTGTCGCGTAATTCTGCATTTACTAAATCTGGGAAGTTGTCATGAGTTGCAATGTTGTGTATGGATTTTTATGTGGTTTAGTATGTCATTATGGACTGTTGTGTTGTCATTGTGGACTGTTGCTGCGGCACGGAGCAATGGGCCCCCTAAGAAGCCTGAGGGGAGAAGGGGGGAATATCCTTTGTATCCGAGCGAAAGAATTTTGTTTTGAGGCAGTCGAGTCAGTCCTGATTCGGAACGCGCAGGAGGCGGATCCCTCGGTCATCTCTCTCTATCCATCTTCGGGAAACATTAAATATTTCAATCCCGTCCACTAATTTGTGTTCGTTGTTTATTTGAAATCCTGACACCCCCCAATCCCCTATCCATCTACAATATCAATTTTCTTTACTAGAACTTACACATTAAGATTCATTTTTAAGTTGCCGGATTATATTTTGCCTATACTTCACCCTGGTACCGACAAACTATTGCCCCCTAATCCCGGACGCTTAGGGTGAAGTGAAACCCCCTTCAAATCAGTCGATTCAAATACAACACTTTTTTTTAAGGGTATTAAACCGAACTGTCAGAAACTTTGACACGTCACTCCTGATCATCTAAGAATTGTCCTGACACATTCAAAATTTGGATTTTTCAAAAAAATTTTTAACTCGGCCCAGACCGGAACCAATGCCATCGAGCTCTCATATTTCGATCAATATACAATTATCGCAGGCTCTGATATGAGAATCGAAAGGGTCAGGACAATTTTACGACAATTTAGAACAATCTGGTAATCGATAAACTCACATTTGAGCGGGACAAAGGCAAAAAAAGTGTTGTATGCGGTTCTATGCTAAAACGGTGCTAATACGAGGTCTTGGAGTGAAAATTTAATTGACCTGGAAATCACAGATGGCGCAGGGGGTCCCTCTGCAGTCAATTAGGGCCCCAGAAAGCATGAATCCAGAGGATTTCTGGAGTTTTACTTCGATTTCTTTATAATTATCGTACGAAAATGACAGGTGGAGTATGCCAGTTGGTACAATAGCGAATATAATTTGACACAGCTGCCAATATAAAAACGAACGTTGGCAACGTAGGCATTTAGAAAAATCTTCTTTATCAACGTAGATCAAGTTCCTCGACGTGTTTCACTTCACCTTAACATATCGATATTGTTTGGTCGAGCTTCCATTTATCCAAGTTATCGTGTTTGTTTTAAAGAGGAAATATATTTCTCCAAAAGGAAAGGAAAAAAAAAGAATAAACAGAGAAATGTCACAAACGAGCGACTTGATTTCGGATTTGGCAAAAACTGTGCAATCTTCCAGTGCTCCGAAGATTGTTTCTAGCTGTACCATTCGGGATGCATTAAACGTTTTACCGTCGATAATCGGTATACAAAACGTTTACGGTAATATTCTAAAATTGTTCTGGTAAACAAAATTTTAGTTTATTTACAATAAGATGTTAATAATTTTCGAAGTCAAACTTTTTATGCTGCGTCCGAGCCTCGACCATTTAAGGATTACAATGCTGGAAAAGATTAGAAGTAACGAATAAGCGTTACGCATCGGAATGTATCCTCTCTCTCTCTTTCCCGCATCCCAAGCCTGTGACGTCATCCATCCCGTACGTGTGCACGTATAGCCCGTATATATAGTACGTGTCGTGGCGACGTGCGTCGTCATGGCAACGTGGCGACGTAGCGCTATCCATCCTAACTCAAGCGAGCCTGTGTTAGTCTTCTTCCCTAACCGGGCGAATGTGTACATTAAGGAGCACTGAGTAGGATTTTGTGTCGACTTTCACGCATGTATCGGTGAGTATATCAGTCTGTATAGACATATGCAGTGGGAAATAATATAAGTGAAAGTGAAAAGGAAAGAAACCCGATAAGTTGCGAAGCTGGACCTTTCAATTTGGGAATAAAACCACCGTCTTTACATTATGTAAATTGCATAAGTATTACTCCGGTCGTGTGTCCCGCGACACGCTCATTTTTTTATTTACTCAATGAAAACCTTAGATGTCTGGTACCAGGAGCATTCTGGCTATTACTTTGCGCGAAGGGGAGGTTCAGCGGGAGGGGAAAAGCACCCTGGGTCCGGCCTGAGTGACGTTGATGGTCACCGGGGATGTTGGTCAAACGGCGAAACGGCCCGGTTCGGGAACCACCGGCACCCGGTCCGACCAATAAATCCTGGGAAAGGCTTACCGTCATCCGGAGACTGAGGTATCGATTTTCAATTAGGCGAAGCGCCCAGTCCATTACGCGATCTTCCCTGCCGATCGATCGATCGAGGAGGAAATTTCTCAACAAGTGGTCGGCCACGAAAGGACGAAGGACGTCTCCGAGGACTTGAGACCCTCTTCTATATAAGGTAAGTATCCTAGGTGTACCCCAGCGCTTTTGTTGATTCTGATATCTGTTAAGGTGAAGTGAAACCCCCTTCAAATCAGTCGATTCGAATACAACACTTTTTTTTCAAGGGTATTGGACCAAACTGTCCGAAATTTTGAAACGTGACTCCTGATCATGTAAGAATTGTCCTGACACATTCAAAATTTGGATTTTTGGAAAAAATTTTTTAACTTACCCCAGAAGCAAAATGGCGTCCAGCTCTTATATTTCGATCAATATATAATTATCGAAGGCTCTGATATGAGAAACGAAAGGGTCAGGACAATTTTACGACAATTTAGTACACTCTGGTAATCGATAAATTCTCATTTGAACAGATAATGGCAAAAAAAGTGTTTTATGCGCTTATATGCTAAAACGATGAAAATACGAGGTGTCCGAGTGAAAATTTATTTGACCTGGAAATCACAGATGGTGCAGGGGGTCCCTCTGCAGTCAATTAGGACCCCAGAAAGCATGAATCCAGAGGATTTCTGGAGTTTTACTTCGATTTCTTTATAATTATTGTACGAAAACGACAGATGGAGTATGCCATTTGGTACAATAATCAATATAATTCGACACAGCTGTCAATATAAAAACGAACGTCGGCAACGTAGGTATTTAGAAAAATCTTCTTTATCGACATCGATAAAGTTTCTCGACGTGTTTCACTTCACCTTAACTCTTAATCTATCGAAAGCCTATTAATTGGCTTTATGATATCCGTGATCGTCGTTTACTTCTAAATTAGAAATATTGTATGTTGAAAAAAGTTCCATTACATACATATTATATTTCGAAGGGAAATTTTTAACAATATGATTGGCGACGTTGGGACGGTGTGGAAGGATACGTAAATTTTGTATCATCATGTATCATCGTATTCTTTTAAGTAAATCGTAGCTTCGAGAATTCGTCAAGTGGCAGGTTAATGGTTAAAGTAAATGCTACAGTCTTATCACTTACGGTAAATACTTCGGTATCGAAATATCGGTGCAGAGTTTCACTTTTCCTACGGATATTGTTTTTATAGTCATCAATTCAGCCTGACCGCTACCAGAAGGGTAGTATTTCGAACAACTTGCCATTTTTGTTTTAGGGAGTTTCGAACTACTGACTCTCGCATGCATTTTCTACAAGTCTCAGAACTCGTGCTTTACGGTATTTCCCGTGACTTTTTTCCGATACGAGTGATTAATAATAGAAAGAGAAAGTACGTCTAACGTTTCCCAAACTGTCTGGAGCGACCATACGTCTGATCGATTAGTTCTTTTATTTTATGTCAATTATGAGCAAATAATTTACTTTCGAGGCGATAATAATTATTTGCGGCAATCTAAATGTTTCTTCCTAAAGAAATTTCTCAGCTTTAGCAAAATTGATTTTCTGGAAGTTATCGGCATTGCAAGGCAAACGATCTCAGTTTTGAATTAAATTGAAATGATTTTACGAAAAAAAAATGTATGCCAAATTAGCTGTAGGTATTGCAAATATCAATAGAAGTTACATCGTTTATTAAATAAAATATTCAATCAACTTGATACTTTAAATTAATACCTGATATGAATAACTAATGACGAATAAAGCTCCCAATTGTTGCAAGAATGGGTTCACCGATAAGCGACAGAATTTTGAGAGAAAA